AATTCATTAAAAAAGCAAATTTCTTAATAGAAATCATTCTAGAAGTGAAATTCTTAAAAGAAATTACTACAGAATCAAATTTCTTAATAAAAATCACTTTCAAAATGAATCTTTTAAAAGAAATTGCTTCAGAAATATATTTCTTAAAAGAAACTTTTCTGAAAGTGATTTTATTTATAAGAACATTTCAGAAGTATTTTCTTTTCAAGAGAATTATTTAGAGACATTTTTATTGAAGAATATCAATTTTGAAGATGATTGATTCTCTTGAAAAAAATCATTTTTCAGAACTTTCAACCATTTCAAAATTTTTTTTCAGATTTTTATTAATAATATAAGCCTTATAAGCCAGCTTTTATGGCTTGTGAGCTGACTCAGTTTACCATATTTTATACTCAAACCAAGTTGACTTGTAAGCTAAAATAAATCAGCTTAGCTCGAGCTGATAGTTGAGCTGGCTCAAACTGACTCATATGGAACTTTAGACATAGCATACATGAAGTTGTCTAAAATAGTCTATTAATAAAACTCATATTTGCATTTTCATATAATCTCTTACTTCAGAAACATTTATTATCTATTTAATAACTTCTATGTAATTACTAGTAGAATAAAGAGAACATTCTTTTAGATTAACTAATTTTGTATTCTCTATATCTTAATTTAGTGTTGGTGTTGGTATTTGATCGGCTAAAAATTTTTTTGGCTATTTTTTGACCAGCAAAATTTCTGATAAAATTATAAAATTTTTGATCATTGGCTAGCCAAAATGGCCAAAAATTCTTTTGGTCAGGCTAAATTGCCAACACTACTTTAATCAACTCAGCATTATTCAATTCTATTATCATAACTATGGATTAAAAGATGTTCAACTCATTTATCATATATTTTTGATAAAAATAACAAATTATCAAATACTTGTTTTTATCTTATATTGTTATCTTACGATACTAACGACTGAAAATTAGTATTAATGCAAGATTAACAAAGGATTTAGCTTTAAGACTTTATAATACAATTTATGAAAAGCTTCTGAAGGTTTATAATTCAAGAATATTTTTAGAGACAAAGGTGATTATAGATAAATGATAGAGTTTTAAAGAAAAGAATTATTACAAATGTATTTATTAGCATACAAATGTGTTTAGTATTTATCTTGTTAGCGATAGTACTAAAAGTAATTCTTTACTTAAAAGTTCCTATGTTATTGAAGTTCTAAAGTTACCTTATTTATAAGAATTTTGATAATATAAATAAAATAATAAAAAAAATATAAAAATAAAAAATGTAATAATTAGTCTTTCATTGTATACTTGATATATATTACATATATGGCAGATTTAGTCAATCTGGCAAATCTGCCAGATTTGGCAGATCTGCTAGTTTTGGCTGATTGGGCAGATTTTGAGGATCTGTCAATTTTAGCTAATTGGATAGATTTTGTGACAAGGTAAAAATCATGTGATCTATAAGATAACTTTTTAGATTATTATAATATAACTAATTTATAAATAAGAAAAAAAAAATATGTAAGCATTTTGTATTTTGTATAATAATGTGTTTATTAAAGATGGTACAGCAAATTTACAAAATGTTGCAACATAAGCTAAAATTAGTTGCAACATATGTTACAACATTATAAGTTGCAATATATATAGGTTAAAACTAATTGCAACGTAAGTTACAATATTAAAAGTTGCAACATATTAATTACAGTTCCCAACTTTAGTGTTTATTAATACCCCTTAGATTATAGACACTTTTTTTATTTTTTTCTTGATTAGGATTGTAAAATTGAATAGAAGTTGTTTCTAGTAAGACTTTTAGAAAAATTGTACTAAAATGATAGACTTTATATGTAGTTATTGCATTACTATAATAGTACTTATAAATGTTATAAAATTATTTATATTGAGTACAACTACATATATTAGCTAATTATTTTAAAATTATACAACTTAATAAATATTTATATACTTATATTGTCTAATAAATAATTTTCTATTATTATTATATGCTCTTCTACATACTAAACTTTTAGTCTTACAATAGTTTTACATCTTACTATTGAATTCACACTAGCTAAAGTTTCAATCATTAACGAAGATATTTTAAATCAGTCTAATATAGTAATGGTAAATAACATTATTATTTGAAAATTTTCAAATGATTTTAAATAATATTAAAATAATATGGAACTTTATGTCATTTAAAATCACATCATTTGTGATTTGTAATTCTACATAGGATTTTACCATAATGTTTTACAAATCTTATGATAAAATATTATGTCATATTTAAATTCCAAATATTTCTATTATATAAATGAGTGTTATTTAAACTAATGCTTTATAGAGTGATTTTGAAAAATGATTTAAATTATGAATAGAGTGAGATTTAAAAGTAATATTATTTTTAAATTCATAAGTAAAAACTTATAAAATAGGCAATTTTATAATAAAACAAAAATCAACATATATAATCAAATCAAAAAATTTAACTAATTAACAAATCTAAATATGGAACATGTGACATATACATTACTTATGATTAGAGTTAAGGTTAGGGTTAGACAGGCATGTGTTATTTATCACTGAAAGAAATTATTTTAGTAATAATTGAATTCAAAATCGATTAGTCATGTGAGAGTTATCTTTAAAAAACCAAATCGATAAATTTTTTTTTTCATTCGTTTATTCGCAACAGAAATTTGTTTATACTACCACCTAAAATTTTGATATTTCCAAAGATGGCAGCGAATGCGGTAGTTTCCTCCAAGTTTCAACGATTTATTAATCATCCTGCGGGTATTTTAATTGTGCATGTTCAAGAAATTCTTCATATCTATAGAACCTAATTATATTTTCTTTGATAAGGTCCAAAAACCGTTCATTTTTGGGCGCCGGTTATGAAATGGGTAAGCGTTGCAGATATTTTTTCTTTACAAGAATTCTCTAGTGACACCATGTTATTATTTTAGGGCTTGGTTATTGCTGGTATAAGCGATCTCAAGCGTCCCCCAGAATCGTTATCAGTATCTCAAACTAGTGGTTCGTAAATAATATTTCAAATCATTATTTTATTTGAGGATTTAGGATTCATTTTAATCTTTTTTTGTATTTATAAAGCTCTTACAGCGACGGGATTGATTTGGTCACGATATTCCACACAAATTATCCCTATAAATTATACTTTATTATCGGTAAATATATTCGTAGCTGGAACTGGATTAACTCAAATGTATAGAATATGGAAGTTAGTATATTACACAACTATTGTTTGGACGATTTATTATATACGATTAAAATTAACTTGAACTTGATACTTTTTTAGTTATCGTCGGTCTTTAAAATCATCACCTGCATCTTCTAATGAGACATCAGTAGTAAAAAGTACCGATTTGTCTTAACATATTTATTGTATTTTGTTAATTGTAATAATTGTACGTTTATTATCAAAAAAAAAAAAAAAATTGAGTATATAATTTAATCTATACAAAGTGAATAAAATGAGGAAAAAAAAATCAAAAAAAAAAGGGGGGGGGGGGGGAATGAAAGTCTAGAAATTTTTTTTAAGTATTTGATAGAATAAATTTCATTTTTATGAAATATAATCCACGAAAGAATCTTGAAGGATTATGATGATTCTTGACTCTCTCGTTATCTGATTCATTGCGTTCGGCACGAACAACCCTATCCACGACCATGTCAAGTGGATCAGGATAAGATTCGGGATCGCAAAGGAATCGTGATACTAAAGAATATTTCCACATGTTTTGTTTTTTCACATTTTTTTCTTCTAATGCCGCTTCAACTTTACTTCGTATTGAAAAATTTCCCTGAGTAGATGATATACAATGAATTAATTCAATGGTTTCTCTGTCATTCATGTCATAATCTGATAAGATCCATTTAAGGACCATTGAAGAGTAACGATAATATCTTGTTGTAATGTTGCACTCGGCAAGAATTTTGTCCAAAAGGTTAAATCTAGGAGCAAATATTTGATTTCGTGAATCCTCCGGAATAAAATTTGATGTTGTACCAGAAACTAACCAAGAAGCACAAACTTTAACGAATTCTATTCTTAAACTATAAACCACACCCCCAGCATCATCATCCTCAGAATTTAGTTGGTCATTCGGTACATCGCAAGGAAATGCGGTAGTTATACGACACTTTAATACGATATCTTTATCTCCTAGACAGGATATCATGGTTTCATCTTTTAATGAAGGTTCATCTAATTGATATACTTTCCGTACGGACTCTATGTAATTTTTATGAAATTCTAATTTAGCACGTCTTAACACCTCGGAAGCTTGCGGATCAAAATTTCTATTAGAAATTCCAAATGTCGGATCTGATGGGGAATATTTGTTTAGTGTTGTGTTGACACCTGCCCATTCTCCAAATAATATTCTAATTTCTCGCAAATGTTTTAGATAACAAAAAGTCGATTCTATTTTATCGTGAAAAGGTTGGAATGTGAAAATGTTCAAAGCAGGATCATAACCTACGAAATTAAGATCATAACAAAGTTTTGGGTTCTTTGAGGTACCAGCTCGAACGTGGATTCTTGAACCGGAGATTGTAATATGTTCAACGATTGCATGGTCACATAAACGATACCATGCTTTATTGACTCTCTTGAATGAATATATTTCTTTTAACGGAAGTAATGCAAGAGCATGTTGAAATATTTCATTTGGAAATATGTTGTTAATTCTTAGAGTGGGACTTTGTTCCATCATCGTTACAAAGTATGGTTAATGTGGTAAGGTTAATGAGTAGTAGTAGGTTTGTTTTATTTTTCTTTCAGAATGTCAATATAAAACGTGGTATGTGATTATTGTGATTATTGAGATTATTGAGTCAACCATATTTGTCAAACAGAAAAAAAACTATCAAATCCTCAAACGTCTAACTTTACAACGTTACAATGCATAACTATAATTATCCTTATTGAAGCCAACATTTTCAAAATTTTAAAAACACAAAATGGCAAAGTATATCGCTAAAGGTAAGTTAATTGGTGTGAGCAATTGATCTTGGTTCAATGTTCTAAGAGGAACGATCTATTCTTACGTAGACGGAACAGTTCGTGAACAACGAGCCGTTACGAGAGTTGTTTATGATTTCCTTTGGTCAATATATTTCTTTATTTTCAATTTCTTTCGAACTTTGTTCTCGGTAAGTCTTCATATAGTAGCTTTTTTTAATTAGAAATTGTAAAAATTTTACTAATATTTTAAATAATAAAATAGCCTTCAGCAGCCGAAATTCTAAGAGGAGGCAATGGTTTTAGTAGTTCTTCCGGTGGTGGATCTAATCGAATTAGAAGAATCGTTAAACATGAAGGTAAATTATTCATTCAAACTTATGACTTTTTCATTAATGCGTGATTAATATTTTTTTTTGTATCAATACAGAGAAAAATGTTCATGGTAAATGTTGTGGATGCGGTTAATTATTACAATAAAATTTGATGGATAGCTAGTTAATTATTCTCTTTATTTTACTATCTTTACTATTATGTATAATTATCTATAATTAATTCTCCTATCAATAAATTTTCATTCCACAAAAACTAGAGTTTTTCTTTTTAATACTAAATTTAATTGATACGAAATGGTTGATCATTGGTTTGAGCCAAATTCCCGTTAAATTCTTGGTATACGGAATTTCTGAAGGCCCTGTTTATGACATATGAGATTTTTTACGCGTAAAATATTTTCGTGGTTGTCCTAAAGTGAACGAATATGTTTAATAAGTTCAAGGTCGAGTAAAATAATAATCATTTCTTTTATCGGGAATATTCTAACTTCTGACATTATTAATAAACCATTAGAGAACTAACGCGGTTTTCGGTGGAAAATTCGGCCTTGTTACGCGTGGCTTGAAACAAAAAGTTCTTTTAAATACTCAAATGAAGACCGAACAAACGCACAATTTACCATTATTATCATATAAAAATGATTCAAAATACACCTTGAAATATACGAAGTCTTCACTTGAAGCCAACGAATGGTTACTTGAAAACAAGTTAAAAAAAAAATATCTTTTGATTTACTGCATTGCAAGCAAATTAACATTCCCCCCTCAAATGCTTAAACGTGTCAATTTCTTAAAATTAATTAAGATCTAATGTATTTGGATTGGATTGTGAATGGCGAGCCTTTCCAAAGCCATCCAAAGTTTCTATATTACAATTGTGTGATTCATCGACAATATATCTTTTTCACATATGTTATATGCCAACTTTTCCGGCGGTACTAAGAAGTATTTTAGAAGACAAAAATGTGATCAAATTTGGATGTAATATTCAAGGAGATGGAACCAAAATTTTTAAGGATTATGCCATTCAAAGCAAAAGTCTTGCAGAATTAAGTCATTTATGTGTACAAGTCAGGACGGATATGTCTACTTCACCTTCTTCCAAAAAAAAAATCGCGTTATTTAAGATGGTTGAAGCGCTGGTAAGGACAAGTAATTAATTAATCTTTGCTTGATCATAATTTTTGATTTTGATTTTGATTTTTGAATTTTTTTTTCACAGCTGCAACACGAATTAGCGAAACCAAGGAAGGTAATATTGAGCAATTGGAATAATTATTATCTTGACCCATCACAGATTGAGTATGCTGCAACTGATGCTTATGTAGGTATAATTTATATATGATGCATTTCAAATTTTTAAATATCCTCTGTATGTTAATAATAATATCAATGAATCATAAGGCTACCTATCACGTAGCGCGTCAGATAAGCATTCTCCAGGATTATAAGGATGATGTGTATAGAAAAGACATTTATAGCATAAAATTACATGATATCGGGAAAGAAAATCAAATTAGAACTGTAACAAAGAAGTTGTGTGAATATTGTGAAGATTTTAGTTTAATTGGGAAACGAAGCAATACTTTTGGAATTGAGCATGTCAACAGATTGGTATGAAAAATATTTTTTTCTCTTGATATGTTTTTTTTAATAATTTTTTTTTTCCTTTTTTGATCTTGTAGAACTCGAAAGTATCAAAAATGGAACAACACAAACAAATTATGGGGACTTTATATTTTTTATGTTATAATATTATAATTGAAAAGAAATAAATAATTGTGATTTCATAAAAAGTGTCAACCTAATCTAATTTAAGAAATTGAACTTGGACAAAATATGAATAGCCACCTTGCTATTTTTCGAAATCGGCTGTAAATCATGTGTAACATTTTATACACCGAGATCCGAATGATTACCCCAAAAAACCAAATATAAAACACCCTTTTAATCCGTCGTTGTTTCCAGAAACTCTTTTTTTTTACAGCAAAAAAAAAACCAAAAATAATACCTAATCAATAGTTCATAAAACAAACAAAAGTTTTTACACGACTTTTTTCAACTGTTATTTTTTTCTATAAAGTTTTTAACCGTAATTTTTATGTCCGAGATCCAAAATCTTCACAGCTACGGTATGATTATTAAAGATTTTATTTTCCTTATGACCTCTTATTAACCAAAACTTTATTGATCAATAGACCCTTTCGCTGACACCGGTGAAGAAGACGCAGGACAACCCCAAGGGTATATTCGTATCCTTTATTTTATGTTATAAAAGGTCATCTACCTGTTATAGATGACCGTTTGTCATGTGAATAAATTCTATTTGTTTATTCTTCGTATGTTTATACGATTTTTGGCATAAAATCATGTTTTGTTATTCCTTGACTTTTTGATCGTTCTTGTAGATATTCGTATACAACAGAGAAACGGTAGAAAGACTTTGACCACTGTTCAAGGTCTACCTGGTGAATATGATAAGAAAAAATTGTTGAAAGCTTTCAAAAAGGTAAAAAATAAAAAAAAATATGAATGATTTTCAATGAATTTACGATTAACATTTTAAGATCAATTAAAAGTTTGCTAACCTTACTTTCTCTTTCGTTTTTTATTTTAATTTTAATTTACAGGAATTCGCGTGTAATGGTACACTTGTACAAGATGAAGAACTTGGTCAAGTAATTCAACTTCAAGGAGACCAACGTCTCAAGGTCCAAAACTTCCTTGGGGACAACGGTATCGACAAAAATATCATCAAGATCCACGGTTTCTAGTCCTTTTGGTACATAGAAATCATGGTCGCTTCGAGATTTTAAATTTATTGATAGAAATTAATTTTTCGTTTATTTTGTTCTTGTGAAATCGAAGTGATTTCGTTTTATAATTATATATTGTTATTATTTTTTTTTCACTTGAGCAGTAGTAGTATTTAATTATTCCCTCTTTTATTTTGCATTTAATCGTCTTTTAAAAACGATCATCAATTTTTTTTTTTTGTGAATCGATCGATAAATTTTTAGTGCATGAATAAAAATCTAGAAAATATTAGTCATGAAATTTCATCCCAAGTTATTACTAATAAGTATTAAAAAAAATGTGCGATACAAATTTGTTAAGATCCACAGTTTATCCATATATTTATTTATATAACATGTTGATTCGTAATCATGATGCTTCCTCCCTTTCTTCTCAAACTACAAATTTAATATGAGCAGTATTAAAGAACAAGTTGAAGTAAATATTTTTTATGATATCGTTGTTTTATTAATTGTGTGAAAATTGTCGTTAACCATCTTTCTTTAAAATGAAATAATTAAAATAGAAACTTATCGCAGAAAATCCAATCATGATTTTTAGCAAATCATATTGTCCATATTGTAAAAAGGCAAAAGAGATTATTAAAAAACTTAACAAAAGTTATGAAGCTATCGAATTAGATATTAAATGTAAGCATTTATTTATTTTATATGATAAAAAAAAAAAAAAAAGGGTAAAAAAAAAAAAGTAAAGAAAATAACAAGTGATTGAAAAATGTAGCTGATGGTCCTGCCATTCAAGATTATCTCGCCAAAAAAACTCAACAGCGTACCGTACCAAACATTTTCATTGGAGGTAAACACGTTGGAGGTAAAAAGACGTTTTATTTCTTAAAAAAAAAAAATAATAATAATAATAAAAAAAAAAAATTAATCATCTTTATTATTATCATTATCATCAATTCATGTAGGTTGTGATAATCTTTTAGCTGCCGAAAGTAATGGATCTCTTAATCAAATGATCGCGACCCTTTAAAAAAAATGTATTTTATAAATCTTTGTATCTAAATAAATAAAAAAATTTTTTTTTGCCGTTTTGATGAGTCGTTTCCCGTTCTATAAAAAATTAATTTATTGCGCCTCAAACATGGTGAATTTGGACATTGATCGTCGTTCCATACATGGTTTAAAATTTTTTTTTGCATTTTTTTTTTACCTTCAAGGAAATGTCTGAAACCTCAATTGACATCATTATCAATGGTCTTCAAGCACAACTCTCTGAATTAAAAGAAGTTATTTCTGGTAACTAATAGGAAATAAATAATAAATTTAACGAAAAATATCTCATTAATGAACGAACTTTATTTATCATGTATAAATAGGATTAAATAATGATCAAAATACTTCAGCACAAACAACAAATATGAAACCTATAGCAGACGAACTCGACGCTTTAAAGATTACAAACACCAAATTAAATTATCGTATTACTCAACTGTTACGCGCTTTAGATGAAAAAGATTCAATAATCTCATCATTAAAGGATTCTATTAATAAATAAAGCAGTCGAATCAAAGTAAACTTTTTATTCGAATTTTTTTTTTATATCACCTGAATTTAAAACCTCCAATTTACGTTAATAGAAAAAGAAAGATTTATATAGAGTGAATATGGACAATTAATTAAATAATTAAAAAAAGGGTCAACCAAAAGAAAAAACAATATTACATAAAAGTATGCAAATATTAATAAAAATTAATAATAGAAAAACAAATGAATATATAAAAAAGGTATGAAAGAATTAATAATATATATATTTTTTTACGATTACCCATGATAACAATTAAGTAAATCTATATGAAGGGGAAACCATAAGGAAAATGTGTGGATTATTATGATAAATTATCAAAATGTTTGATTAATATGATACACTTCGAATTTAATTGATATTTCCGCACATATTTGCTTTTTTTTCCTCCACCAAAATTTCTCTGACCCGCAAATCGTTAAAGTAGTGTAAACTACAATTATATTAATACATTATAATATCATTGGGCTCCATCACCTTTCTTTTTAAGCATGGGTTTAATAACATAAATGTATATTACTGCAGCAAGTATTGCTAGGAGCACTATGGCAATGAACATACAATACCATTTTTTCTAAAAAGAATATAGATAGATCTTAGTAAACATCCTTAATGAAGGTGAATGAAACCAAAGTTTCACCTACCTTTCTTGCGGCTCGTGCACTTTCTAATGCTTTTTCTACGTGAACGACACCCTGCTCCGTATCGTTTTGTATTTGAGTAGCGTTTTCTTCAATTTGAGCAACTTGTGTGTCCTGTGCCTCGACTATAATTTGCATTTCTTGGAAAAGATTTGCAAGTTCCTGGGATTTATCAATTCAATAAGTAAAAAAACGAGCTCAAAACCGAACATTTCAAGAATATTAGCTTTGTAAAATGAAATTACTTCAATGGTTTTTTCAATCTTTTTGATATCATCGTGTCGTTTTTGCACTTCTTGTAAAGCGTCCTTTGCTGCACCGTATCTTGTTGAATTCATGAGCTAAACGAAACGTTAAATTTAACCACAAGATAAAAAATTATTCTAATGTCAAAAGAATTGGGAAATTTAAAATGATTTATTAGAAACATAAAAAACTAACCGATTGCGCGAAAATCTGCCCACCGTCGTCATTGTCCAGCGCTGAATCAATCTCTTCTTGCGTCGCATTGGGTTTAACTTTATTGAATGATAGATAAATAGTTAATTTATTTAACTATTATATAAGACAAACCAAGTTTCAACGCGTTTTAAAAGGAACATACCAATTTTGTATTGCCTTTCCATACGCTCTCTAAACTTTTGACGATTTTGAAATTCGACCTTTTGGTAATCTTGTAAAGTATCCATAAATTTTTGACGTAGATTACCTGTCTAAAGAAATATATAAAGGAATCATTTAGAACACCATGTATGTAATGTTTACAAGTTCCAAAATAATATAGATTTATTATCTTATAGTAACCTGTTGCTTTCGAACTGTTTGATCAGCAGGACTAGCCTTAAAATTTGAGACTTCTATTTTTTTAATTCTATCTTTTACTTGGACAAGGAGTTGACGCGTCTCGGTGATAATGGAATCAAGTTGACGTTTAGTGGCTTCATCTTCACTGATTATGCCCAAGGAACGTGAATGAAATTCATCAATACGGCTAATGTTGCTTTTTATTTGACGGATCAAATCAGAGATTGACGAAACCTGAAGAAATAATTAAAATATTTAGAAAATTATACATATATATTATTTGATTTGTTATTTTTCTTTTTTTAAGAACGCGAATTCATCTTGTGAAAAGCGCGAAGAAACAATTCGCTATACGTTACGTCACAACATCTAGTACGTGACAACCTCAAGTAACTTATGAATTGCATTGATCATTCCTATCTTTCCTAATTAAAGGTTTCTTGAAATAAAGTACCTCGTCAAAAAATCCTTTTATATTATCAGGATTGGCTTGAGTCATCTCTACATTTTGTTGCACATTTGGATTAAATTGTTGTTGTTGTTGTCCATATGACTGTTGATTGTAATTCTGTTGTTGCCCTAATTGTTGTTGGCCATAACCTTGTTGCTGACTATATGGTGGTTGACCATACTGTTGTTGGCCATATGTTTGTTGTGGATACCCTCCTCTGTATTCGTTACCATATTGGCCCTGCCCTCCCTGTTAAATAAATAATAAACAATAATAAATTTTCACGAAACCAGTTGTCTAATATAGATGAGAAGAATAACAAATAAAAATTAAAATTAAAATTAAAAAATTAAAAAAATACCGTATAGTCACCACCATAACCTTTGCTCATATTGGTTGATATAAATAAAAAGGTTTTAAATTGACTTAATACGGAATTCGAAAGTTAATGAAGAGGGATAAAGGTAAAAAAAAAAAAAAAATGATGAGTAAAAGAGAGTAAAATAAGTATGGGGGGCGTATAGAAGGAATATAGTATAACGATAATAAATTCGATCAACTAAAATAAAAATTAAATAATATATTATTAAATTTCATAACATTATTGCACTAATGCATTTGTGCAATGTTTAATTACATGATGTATTTTTAGATCGGTAACTATAACGGGAAAGCAACCCTGATTTAAAAATACCTGTAATTATAAATAGATTTCTCACTTTACAAAAACATTTATTTTTACCTTTTGAATTTATGTTTTCAAAAATTTTAAAAAAAGCGATCGTATTCGATGCATTTCCAAAGGTTGATGCAGATTGTCAGAATCAAAGTCCACAGGGTGGTTTTGTGACGATCATTGTATCGATATTTTTATGGTTTTTGATAGTTAGTGAATTCAGAGAGTATTGGTATCTCGATCAAAAATATGACTTTGTGGTAGATCAAAGTATAAACCACGAATTACAGATTAACGTTGATATTACAGTAAATACTCAATGCCATTGTGAGTTAACTTTAATGTTTCTAATTTACTTTTTGATTTAACCAAAACTAAAATTGTAACGTTTTCACAGATTTGACGGTAGACGTGGTAGATGTTGCCGGAGAGCGACTGCATATAACAACCGAACTGGAGAAAATACCGGTATATAAATATATTGAATTTGAAAGAACGAGACATTGACGTTTTATTTACACGAGATTATATTTTATTAGACGAAATTTGAAGTTAGATCCGCTCATTTGTTAAGGTAAACTTTATTTTTAAGTAGCATGTTGTTTATATATAACCAGGTAAATTCATTTACCAATTAAATCATTTTTCATGATTAGTGATAATTATAGTTCACGATTAGATTTTAGACAAATGGTGGTGGAAGCTGCCTCAAATTTCAATCCAATTCCTGAGAACGATGATGTTCATGGTAATTGTTTAAACTCCAAGCAGTTCCCAATCATTATCCATTTTTATGTAAAATTTTTATTTAGGGGAAACGCAAACAGCATGCAGGATTGTTGGATATTTGGATGTCAATAAAGTCACCGGTAATTTGCATATTACCGCACTGGGCCATGGATATGGATATGGATTATATAATTCGGCTGATGAAGGTGTGCAATATTTAATTGCAATTTACAAAAATAAGTATTGATCGAATAGCTAACATAATTTAATTATTTGTAAAGTAATGAATTTCACACATAGAATTGATGAATTCTCATTTGGAACTCATTATCCTCTCCTAATAAATCCACTTGATAATAGCTTCGAGATTGCCGAAGCTCGTATGTTTTGTTTTTTCTTTTTTTGTAAAAATAAATAAATAAATTTATTTCAATTAATTAAATTTAATTTCTAATTTTTTTTTTATATATATATAAAAATCTAGATGTGGAAGCTTTTATGTATTTTTTGTCGGTTGTAAGTTATACAATAAACATTTTATCATGTTTCACATTAACCGCAAATTATTATAATTCACATTTTTTTTTTTTAATTAAATATAGGTTCCAACGACATACATAGATAATAGTAACCATGTTTTGTTAACTAATCAATATTCGGTTACGGAATATTCTCGTATCATTGATTCATCAAAAGGAGGAATCGGTGTTCCAGGTATACAATTTGCTTGTTAATTTAGTTCCACATTATCATTTCTCGAACTAACTTTTACTTTTTATATCCTAATTATCAAAAGGCATCTTCTTCAAATATGATATTGAACCAGTTTCTGTGCAAATCGTCGAAAATGGCTCAAGTTTTGTCACATTTTTGGTTAGATTAAGTGGACTTGTTGGTGGTATATGGGTAACAGCCGGGTTTGCGTTGAAAGTTGCGAATCGGATTTGGTCATCATTGCAAAAAATCATCTCAAGTGATAATTACCTGACAAATAAACTTAATCAGTAAACAAATTTGATTCAATTTTGATATGTAGAATAAATAATTATTTATAAGAATTTTATTTCACACTTTTTTTTTTTGGAAAAAAATAATCCCATTTTATTATTATTTGAATGAAAAAAAAAAAAATTTTTTTCCTTTTTTTTTTTTGTATATAGATTACTAAGTTTAGATTGATTGATAGAAATTTTTTAAAAAATACCTTTTAAATAATTCTAGTTTATGGATAAATTCTAATATCATTCTAATCTGCTGATGTCTTAAGCTAGAGTTCATGTGAGAAGATGATATAAAAAAAGATTTAAATAAAATAAAATTATTATTAAATAATTACCCGTATTCCGTGCATTTTCTTTATATCATCTTGCAGTATTTCATTAACCATTCGATGCTGTTTAATTACGGAAAGTCCCTTAAACGATTCTGAAGAAATTTCGATTGCGTACATTGATCCGCATCCTCCTTAATAATAAAAGGCTCATTGATAAGAAGAATATGCAGTATGTACGGTGTAAACAATTTTTGCTTACCTGATATGTCTTCCACGTTTAATCGAGTAGGTTTTAACTTCGAATGTAACTTATCAAAGAGAGACTTTTCTCCTTTGGATAACTTTTCCGTTTGAGAATTCAAAGCATTATTAGTGTAATAACGGTTATTACGAAGGATTCTTGTCTGTAAAGTTGTATGATTTATTATTGAAGGTCGTTGAAAAACGCTACGTATCGCTCGCGACATGATTCAATTTTCAACTTGTTTTATTTTTTAAAATAAAAAAAAAAAGTGTGGACGAGTTTAAAATTTGAGATCTGTGCGACGTAGTTGTTTTTATCTAGATTCAACGGTCCATCATCATTTCAGCAAAAAAACCCAACCACCCCACCTCGCGTTAATAAAAAGAATAATAATGGAAAGTAAATTTATTTCATCAAAGGAAATAGAAGAAGCTAGGCTTAAGAGGCAGGAAGAATGGAAGAAAGCTTTTGAAAGAATAAACGAAAGTAATTGTCAAATTTAGATCTTTCAAAGGAAAAAAAAAATTTATTCCATCACCCAATTTATTATTTTTTTGACACATGAAAACCTTCATGATAATCTTAGAACCACCTCCTATTGAGGAGGATTATGATCCTCGAACATTATACGAGAGGTTACAAGAACAAAAAATGAAAAAGGAGGAAGCGTTTCAGGAGATGAATAGATACAGTATGTTATGATCATTCTATGTGAATTTTACCTTTGGGGAAAATGATTTGAAAACTATTTAAACAGCTTAAACAATTGCAGGCAATTTAATTCATAGGCTGGACGAGGATGAGATAGAATTCTTGGCTACGGTAGAAAGTGAAGAACGTGTTAAAGAATTAGAAAAGATGAAGAAAGACGAGGTTGAACTCGAAAATTTTAGGCAGTTTGTATTCATTAAATTTTATTTATTAAAAAAAAAAAAAAAAAGCTTATTGCCACGTCTGAGAATTTTTTATTTTTTCCCAATGGTTTTAATATTATTAATTAGAGCTGCAGCTGAAGCTGATAAGGTTGCAATTTCAAAACCAATTGCACATGAACCAGCTCCGGCACCAGTAAAAAATACTCTAAAACAAGATTCACAACGAAAGATATTAGCGAATGCGGTGAAGAAAACCGTCAAATCAACACGCAGTAAATCGTTACCGCCGGTAACCATCGAGCCTCCATCATCAACTAGTGATCAAGTATTATCGCCGATTATCATAGAACAATCATCTCATGCCATCAAACGAGAACCACATGATTCTGATGATGAACAGATCAGAGAGAATAAGCGAATTAAAACTAAAGAATCAAATGATCTTTCAACAGAAAAGGAAATTGCAAAGATTTCAAAAGAAGGTTCATCTTTGCAAACGTTCAATGCAACCTCTAAATCTATACCGCATAACGAAAGAACTTTTGTTGAAGGGAAAGACTCGATAGAAACGACCAATAAAAGTAAACCCTTAAACCCTTTGTTATCATTGCTTGTATATAGCGATGACAGTGATGACGAAGACACCTCATGAAATGTCCTAATTTATTATTTATTTAAATAAAATGTCTTCACACAGAATATGATTTCATCTTTTGTTAAATATTTAATTGTTGATTTATGCTAATGACGTTTTGCGCCTTTAACCTTGGCGCCTAAAGTAATTTATATAAAGAGCTTTTTACTGTATTTTCCCCACCTTTGTTCACACTTAATATTTCAAATCAAATGTCTAGATTCGAATTTTTCTTAATCTGTGTCGGGTTTATCTCGATTTTTTTGATAGTAACCAGCAACTCTGGTAAATGAGCATAAAAATTTGGATAAAATGGTTTTTTGAAAAAAAAAAAAAATGAAAAAAATTTTTTTATTTTTATTTTTTATTTTAAAAAAAAAGCTCCAAAATGTGTTTTATGTCCGTTATACATTAATTGTGATCCTCCTTGTGAAAATGGAGAAGAATGTTTTCCAACTGGGGGAGGCTGTAACTCGTGTCCAAAAGGGCACTGCAAACAAAAAGAAGGTAATTGTGACTCCAAAAAGCGCCTCCTTTCTTTCCTTTTTCTTATTCAATCAAAAAAAAAAAAAAAAAATCTCATGATATTTTTTTTTTTTTTTTTGAAGATACTTGTATCAAATGCTTAACTTATCCAATTTGTCCAATGTGTGACAATGATGAAGTGTGTGTGATAAAGCAACCTGATTGTCATTCATGTGGAACTGCTAAATGCGTCAAAAATCACGAAGGTACCAAATAAAACTTTTTTTTTTCCTAACTCTATAATTATTATTTTATCTTTTTTATTTACACCAGATTGTATATTTTGCATTCAATCTATTCCTAAATGTCTTCCATGTAAGGAAAATTATAATTGTTACATTACTCCACAAACTTGTAATAAGTGTTCTGAAGCAATTTGTCTACCAACGATCAAAAACAATTCAATGATATAACCATAATTGAAAAGAAGGTTTTATTTAGTAATATATAAATTTTATATTTTAGTGTTAATCATGTTAATCAGTAAATAAAAACATTTATAGCCATATACATAAATAAATAAATTAATTAACGTTAGGTTAAATAATTTTGCCAAAATGTACCTTGACAGGTTTTTTAAAATTAATCCCGATTTATTCCGAAAATTTCGATCGAAAAAAATTCACCAAAATTTTTTTATTTATTTATTTTTTTTTATTTTGCTTTAAAGAATTAAGGAAAAAGAGAAAAATATTTACAAGAAATAAAAAGTGAATTAGCAAAAATGCTTAAACCCAAAAAGTAAAAAAAAAAAAAAAGATTCTCAACCGAGTAATAAAAAAAAGATTGTTTGCGATAACCAACATTAAATCCGAACATTTTTTTTTTTTCTAAATATACTTTTTTATGGTTTTGAAATAATAAAAAAAAAAAATCTCGAGAAAATAGTAAAGTAAAAAAATTTTGTCTTCACCTCTGCACTTGAAAAAAGAAAAAAGAAAAAGTATTTACATAATTATGAATGAAAAAGATTATAATGAAAAATTCCAAATATGAGAACTTTAAATATTTCTTGTTTTTTTTTGGTTTTTTTTTTTTGATTTTATAAATATTTATATATTTAATAAAATAATAATGAAATTCATTCAATTCATTGATAAAGTCAGTCATCACTCCTATTATCATTTTATCGTCACCCATTGCCTTAATATTTCAATGTTAACTGCACGTTTCCATCCTGTCCTATCCGATGAAATTCGACATCCATATCCGTTTCATCTTCGATTTGGTGAACTGAATCGTCGTCAAAACGAACGGTAAGATTACGTTTAGTACATCTAACTACATTTGTGATTTGTTGGCCTTGGAGATTAATCTTCTCGGAGAGTTTGTCAGTAAGTTTTGAAATGAGATCTTGGACAGTAAGTTGATTTAGGTAAACAGCGCGATATACAGATTCACCCGGCAATTTAACGTAAATGCAAAGGACTAAAAAAAAAAAAGATTATATAATAAAAGTGTGAATATGGAATATGTAAATACATCACAAGATTAACAATTCCCATCTATTATATTTTAAATACCCGCACGACGTTTTCTTAAGTGTGGAATGTAAGTAGGGTCGCAATCCAAAGGTTCCAAGAAATCGGGACCCAATGGAAATCTCTTGCGTTTTCCCAATTGAAAAGTCATTAAATCACTTCCTTCCACCTCCGGATCAAGATTATTTAAAGTCTCTGAAAGACTTAAAATTTCATCATCATTAGGCGCGTCATTTCCGGTATATTCGTTAAATACGGTTATATTACTCGGTGGCGCATACATCATTATCATTGGAGTTGTTTCTTGTGATTTGGCTTTAACATATTAAACAGAAAATTAAATTATGAATACATAAAATGTTGAATAATTAAAAAAAATCGTGATTTTATTTTACAGTACCTCTCATCTTCTCGCACAATTTTTCTAAATGTTTTTGGTCATCTTTATTTTTACGCTCAGCGCCCTAAATGAAAATTACCACAATGATTCGAAAATTGATTTGGGACAATTGATTCGATTATGTTATTAATAATAACCCTTACCTTATCTCTAAATAGCTTAATTTTGGAGTAGGATTTTTCAAGAGATGTACAGATCCCACCATTGTCGCACTTGGTCTCAGCGTGAATTCTTAGTGGGATACCCTTAACGCCTTTTATTCGAGAGAAATCTGTAGAAAGGCAGTTGAAACGTACAAACATTTTTGCACCCTTCTTTCCATTCCATTGGATTTGTACGCGATCAAAAGCCTTTATCTCCACGTTACTGATCCCGGTGGAGGCAGCTTTGTCTTTTAGGAAAGAATTATGCGGAATCATTCTTTAATTATCATCATTTTAACCTAGGTTTAATCAAATATTTTTCCAAATATTTACTTACCAATCTCAACGGCCCGAGAATTTTTAGGGGATGATTGTTGCGTTAACCAATAACCCCAATAAGTAGAAGCCATTTTACGATGGGAATCATCATGAAACATTACTTTGAGAACTGTGGTATATTCGGTATCATATTTATCATGATCTTGTAATCCAATCGCATAATATTGACCCTTGTTAAGATAAGTTACGGGAGCCTCGTCGATACGTTGAGCAGAGGCGGTGGGTGCCTCGAGAAGAATTTCAAACCGCAAGTTTCTACAAAGGAATGATCGGATCAAAAGAACGAATTAAGATAATGATCATAATAAATACATTGACAATACATTGTTCATTACTTACGATGAAGATTGATGAGAGGGAATACTTTCAGGTGGAGAAGGAATGCTAACAGGAGTAGCGGAATTACTATAATCATGATCCGGAGATTGTTGGCCTTGTTCAAGGTGTGATGCATTATGATAAGAAGGATTTGGAGTAGTATTATTTGGGTGTTGAATGTGATGCGATAAATGATAACCATTGGCACCGTTGTTACTACAGTTAAGTGGAGAATTAATTGGACTAATATCCGGTTGCGATGAAACAGGGACGGAATTTACGGGTGGAAGTGTGGTCGTTGGCATTAATTGACCATGGCTCAACAGTTGAGAATTTTGAATACCCCCGGATTTGTAAGCACTATTTGGTGGTGATGTCGGACTGTTTTTTTTTTAAAAAAAAAATATTTTGATCGATTTGATTTATTTATTAATACGTATCAGGTATTTATCAATTAACAGAGATAAAGTTGTACTAACTATGTTGACGGAGAATAAGTTTCTGAATGATATCTGATACTAGATAACAAACCAGAAAAATCATAAAGATTCAATCTTTATCATATATGATATAAATAAACAAGATAAACCTGTTGCGCAAACTCGACATAGTCACAATTTCATATATCACCTTAACGCTTACGTTGGAATAGCTTGTGTGATATTTGAAAAGGGATATGGAGATATTTGGGTTCGGGTTGTAAGAAAAAAAAACATTTATATATATAAACGCTTACGTGTGTGGAGGATATCCTCCCGCGGATCCAAAATGTTGGAAACCACCGTAACTTGAATGTATGTGCGGTGTGGCTACGGGTAACATTATGTCGCCTTATATTACAGATTCACACACTAATATTTTAGTCAAAAGGTAGATTCAAAAGGTTTTGGAGGGAGGAGAGGGAGGGGAGAGTTTACCTGTTATCTGAAAACGTGTTGTACAAAAAAAAAAAAGAAAAAGTCTGTCTTTTAGAATCTTCATTTTTTTAAAGTAAAAAAAAAAAATTATACAAACCAAAATATTTGATATAACGTAAAAGTCGTAAAAGAATTGGTCGTATCAGCGCGACACGTCAATAATCGTAAATTCGTAAAGATTTTTTAATAAGTGAGGCTGCGACGTAAAAAAAATTTACGTAGTTCGTGAACACGTTACAGGTCGTCGCTAAAAGTCCAAAGAGAATTTCACAAAACTGTATCAGGTTACTATTGTTACCACATAAAGAGAACCAATTACAAAAACAAACAAAACCTTAAAATTTTCAAATGGTTCATTTGAAAGGATAAAAGAAAAAGAAAAGAAAGAAGGAAAAAAAAAAAAAAAAAAAAGAACTAGAGAACACGAGAAAGTGCTTCTACCTGATCGAAAAAATGGAATGGCAGCCGGTAGTTCAGCAAGAACGAATAGTCCCTGTTTATAAAAAAAAATTACTACCAATCAAAATTCAGGACAGTTGAAATAAATAATTTTTTTTTTTGATCTAATTGTTTAAATTGTTAACAATATAAGAATAAATAAAAGAATAAATATATCTTAATTAAAAAAAATTTTTTTTTATATATCTATTATTATATCTATTGTTATTTTTTTTTTTTTTCATAATAGATTAAAAATAGTGAAGATAAAAAAAAATCTAAAAAAATTTATGTATAAATAAAGTTCAAAGTTTACTAATTACAGATGAGATTTATATATATATATTATAAGATTGGAAAGTCAAGAATTTCAAGAATTGGAAGAAAAAAAGGTTGGGGAAAGTGAGAATGAAAGGAGGCTCAATGCTAAAATACAATGTGGCGCATTCAGTTTAGAAATGATGAGTGTTGACTTTCTCTTTCTATGATTTATTTACATTAATAAATTTAGATATAGAGATTATGCGGAAAACAGCCCCAAAATTCAGAAAAAAACGCGTTCATAACATATTTTAAAGTGAAATATTTTATATATAATAAATAGATAAACAACCACACATAAATAAACTGTAATCCGTGACCCTTAAAAATTTAATAACGCGAAGGGGGTTATAAAATCAGAGAAACCAGAATGAGGTTACGAAGTGTAGGAACCTTTTGAAACCCAATTTTATCACCCAGAGTCGCGATATCAAAAATGCAAACCAATCATAGATTTGGATATATTTTTAATACTACTTCATTTGGAAAGGCTATCCCTTCTTGAAATAAAATCACACACACAAGAAAAAGAGGGGGATAAAAAAGGGACAATTCACGGAAAAAACGGAAAAAAAAAAAAAAACATTTTAATGAACATATGTTTGGGAATATGTGATTTTTTTTTTCAATTTTTAATGATCGACGGTCACTGTTCAGTGATCTTCCATCTTTTGGACTTTCAAGCCGATTATATATAAATTATACAATAAAAAAGAAAAATACCCTTGATATCAAAGCAGGGTCCATGTACCGATTTATCGACGATTTACAAGAAGGCTTAAAAAAATTTTTTTCTTTACACAATTACCTTCTCAGATCTTCCAAATTGACTCTCACAAGAAAGAGAATTTTTTGATGCGAAACGAAAAAAATCTTTGTAATTAATAAAACTTCAGTTTGTTAATTTGGATTTTCCCGCAATTCCTATGCTTCGCACATCTTGCTAATCAGTTATTTTCCTTCAGCAGCCACTTTGTAAGCCCCCCTCCCCTGTAAAGCATTATTTATGCTGCGGATGTTTTGAAACGTGGATTATTTTATCTGGTTCTCCCTTGCATAAATTCTTTTCGAGTTTTTTTTCTTGACATCATCGGTTCCCAAAATAGAATGAGATTTTCTTAAAATTGTGCCCCACTTTTTTTTGTTTATGTAATGACTTTATTACTGCGGCGGTGCCAAACGTCGGATCAACAAACGTGGATGTTACACTACATTCATAAAAGAATTCTTTTTGGGGAGGTTATGCAGTTATCGTTCATAATCGGACATCTGAATATCTTAAAAGTTTCATCACAATGGAATATGGTATCATCATTATATTATTAATATTTGATATTGTAATTTTTTTACTTTATTGAATCTTTTTTATGTTACAAAAAAATAAATAAATAAATAAATAAAAATAATCATAATTATCTAAAAGAAAATTCGAATTAATTCAATTAATTCGAAAGAATGTCAAATAGATTCTAATTTACCGGCAATTACTTTTTCTTTGGGTGTCACGTGACAAAATTTAAATACATAATATTAAAGATAATCACTTTATCCAGTACCATATACTGTTTCAACAAAGGAAATCCAATTGGTAATTACTTCTCGGACCTCATCCCATCTATGCAATTCAAATTCATCGTTTGAATTCGATAAGGCTTTGAACCATTCCTTGTGTAGGCGTCCACAGGACCCGCATTTTTCGATATCGGCTTTGAATCGCGCGTTCAACTCGATGTGAATGAGCCTTTCGGCTCTATGCGTATACTTACATTTTGGACTCTCGACGCTTTTGCATGAGTCTTCCTTAACATTTGAAACATTTGGGAATAATTCGATTAGATTGGGTTTATTTCCACATCGTTTAGCCCATTGGTAGAGCCTTCGATGCACATTCGAAGATCTACCGACTTTATAGAATGTTTGTTTATCCCTCTCCTCGGAATTGGGTCCTATTTATCATAAATGAGTTAGACAGATACTTATTACCTCACATTTATATATATACAGTATATATATATTACCTTCGAGCAATCTATATGCATAGATGAAACCAGGTTTATCTCTATTAGTTATGGGCTTCTCTATTTCTGATTTTAATAACCGTTTTATTTCCGGGGAAAGGTCAGGTTTAATCCATTCTTTTCAAAAACCAATTTTATCAAAGGAGGGAAAATACATGAAACATGAAACATAAAACTATGTTGAAATTGTATAAATTACCTCCATATTTAATCCATATTTTTGTTGCCTTATCAGGAACGAATATGTCTTTTTCCAACTCATCCTCAACAGATTCAACAATCTCTTTTTTGTTTTGACGGGATAATCCGTCAGAAACTTGGATTTTATGATTAATTGAATTGCCATTCTTACGATCATCATCAGTTAAATCGATTATAACGGGTGTCATCTTTTGATTATCAGTCATCAATCCATGTGACGCATTTATACACGAAGAATGCATATTTGTCGGTGTCGGTGATTTTATATTTGGAATATTACTTATTGGGGATTGATAAGGTCCTTCCATCGCCTCGCCTAATTCTTTAATCGTATATTTTTGTCCAGTTTTTTGCTTTTCTTCCAAAAACGTTCGTAGTGAACTTGAGTCATTTCGAGTTGATGGGCTTTTATTTAATGACAGAGATTTAAACTCATTATTAATTTCATCTAAATCATCATTTACTTTAGACGAATTCTTTTTTCTTGTTATAGGTATACTAAATACGTTTTCCTCAGCTCTCTGGTCTTTATGATGACGACAATACTCCTCAGACACCAAAAGAACTTTTTTACAAGGTTGACCTTGAGACGTAATCCCCTTGCAAGTATTTTGTGAATTAGGTTTCCCCTGTTTTGGAGAACATATATCGTCATGACAAATGACCATTATACTTTTGTTCTAAAAAATTTCGTTTTTATTAATTTATTTTGGGTTTGGTTATTAATTTAGAGTCAAGAGAAAATTTTCCTGTTAGGTTTTAAAAGGTTGATTGATCGACATTAGGTTGCTTTATATAGAAGAAGACCATATGTTGAATTTGATTGGAAAAAACTAATACCACTTTACTCTTTTATTACAGCGAGATAAAACATCATTAAATAATTCTAGGACACCGAAAATCTCAATTCTCACGTTTCCACCTCTCCATTAATCGGTTCTGACTTATATTGTTCAAATAGGCTTAAAGTTAAACTGCTTAAAAAGCAAGGAATAGAACCACGTTCCACGACCCAATATTTGATCAAGTTATCTTGACTCTTTATGTATTCAGTATTTCCACCATTAATAAGTTGCATGGTACCATGTTCATTTTCAGAGGAAAAAACGAATGAATGATCGTATTCTTTTGAATATTTAGAAGTTAAACGAACGCGACTGTTTTCAAGAAATTCTAGCTTATAACCAAGAAGTTTATAAACAGCTTCCTTATATTCTTGTGCTTTATCTGTCCAAACCTATTTAAGCAGAGGAAAAGAGAAAAAAAAATTAGTAATATGTCAAAATTACCGCTAATGATTGAATCTATTCTACCCACTTCTTTAAGCCTTGTCATTCTCTTTTCCTTATCTGCGACTTGACTTTTAAGTTGCTTATTTTCTTCTTCTAAATTCAAATAACTTTGAATTGGAATAATTCTTAATTCGTTCTTTGGGTCATTATCTCCAGTTGACTCTAATGTAATGTTGGGTTGATTTTCAAGTATCTTAAGTAATTCTATAAGTTTATCTTTCAATTCTTGATTTTCTGTGATTAATCCCTGAAATTTATTTTCACGTAAAGAAAATTCCTTTGAAGCGGGATTATCTTTTATTTCCAATACCTAATAATAATACATGCATTTATAAGAAAATTGAATAGCCTTTTATGTTAATGCGAATAAAAATAAATAAATAATAATTATATGAATAACATACTCGGGTTGTTGCCCAATCACATTCACCTCTACCCAATTCCTTCTCAAGAGCATCAATTTTATTATTTAATGAAAAGAATTCCTTTCTCAAAAATGCGTTTTCTTGACTGAGCCTTTTTATATCTAGATAAAACGAATTTAAGTTGGAATTATAAAGATTTTAAAGATCCTATAACAAAAAAAAATTATTAAATGAAAAAATATTCACCTGCATTCAATTCCCTGTCAAGAATATCAAATTGATTATCTAATGTAACGATTCCTACTCTCAAAGATTTATTATCATCATCGAGCTCTTTTGCGGCTAATCAAAACGAATTTACGTTAGAAACATAAAAATATAAAGTCCTGTAACAAAATAAAGTAAATTAAGGAAGTCTTACTTTCTTGTAGAACCTCATTCTGCTTAATTAACTCAGATGAACGAACTTTTAAATCAAATTCTTCATAAATATTCATTTGATTTTGCAAAGACGCCATTTCTTTGAGCTTATTTGCTTTTTCATACTCTAATTCAAAAATTTCTATATGCAAATCAACGAATTAATATTTGTCAGAGATTTAATAAAATAAATTATGAGCTCTGATCATGAATTGTCCGACATTATTATAATCGACTTATTAAACAAATCAATAATAAATACCATGAGTTAATACTTCATTAATTCGCATCACCTCAAATGAATGAAGGTCTAACTCCAAAGTTTTCGGATATTGAATTTCTTCCTGTTTTTGCTGTTGAGCAACAATTAACTTCATTTCAGATTGTTCAAGACTTGTTTTATATTCTGAAAGCAAATTTTCCAAATTCTGAATTCTCTCCATTTTTTGAGCATCGAAGTTCGATTGCAAATGTTTTTCTTCCTCGTCATAAGATTTCTAAACATTTCATGTTTATAAATATTTTTGACTTGATTAAAACAAAACAACAGTTGCGCTTTTCGCTTACCAAAGAACTCCTCAACATTTCAACTTCAACTTGAAGAAGCTCCTTACTTCCTTTGGATGCTTCTATCTCATTCAAAAATTTATTTTCAATGGCTTGGCATTTATAGTTTAATTTCTTAATCTAACATGTGAAGAAAAATTGATCCTGAATCAAAAAAAAACTTTTTTAAAAAATTAACGTTAAAAAGTCATTTGCAATATCTCAATATACTTACTTTAGACTCGTATTCGATAATTACAAGGTCTTTATTCTTAACTTTTTCTTCCAAGGAACGGATTTTTACCTTTAAAAGTTCTATTTCATTTCGCCTAGAAATGAGCTCATTTACAACATTATATGGGGTATCGCTATTAATGCTATCACCTTCTCGGTCAAGGAGAGACACCCTGCAATATTTTTTTTAATAAATAAAAATATTAAAAAATATAAAAATTCCAATATTAAATAATTGTGAGAACAAATGAATGCTTTAAGGTTTTTAAACTACGAATCTAATTAACAAGTACCAAGATACATGTTCCCTTTTTAGCATTGCGTTTTCTACTTCTAATTCAGCAGCTTCCCGGCGAAGTTTACTCATTTGTGAAAGTTGAACTTCTGCTTTTTCTAGTTTATGTTGTAAAATTTGAATGCTAGGAGACAATTGTTTATTGAGCCTAATTTCCCTTGTTAGATCTCGATTTTTTGATTCAAGTTCTTGAATAAGTTCTGACTGATCTATTAATTAGAAATTGTTCCGTTATTACGTTGATTTGTTTAAAATATCAATTAAAAAATTTACTTGATCGAACACCTTGAACTTTCTTATTAAGAGTTTCAATTTGATCCAATTGACCAGATAACATGCTAAGCTCGTTTAGTTTTTCTTGTGTTACTTCCAACCGTTGCTGAGTTTCATCCAATTGTCTTTTCCTTGAAGCTGATATATCATGTTGTTGACGAATCTAATCTCAATTTTTAAAATGGAAGAATTAGCATTAAGCAATACTCTAAAGTCCAAATCATACAAAAAATATAATGTACCTGTTCATTTAAATTATCGATCTGATGTAAAAGTTTCGATGCTTCTGATTCAGAATTCAAAAGTTTACGTGTCAAGTCATTTTCTTTAATCTGACTTTCGGATTTAAGTTCCGTCAAATTCTGTTGTAATTCACGAATTTCATCTTCAAGTGATTGAGATGCACGAACTGCGTCTTGCTAATGATTGCATTATTATAAAAGTGTGAGTATGTAAAAAGGATAATTATCATAAAAATTGATAATAAATTCAACGAGATATATTTACTAATAAAACTAACTTTCAATATAGTATTTTCGTGTTCCAAATCTCCCAAACGATGTAATGCCTCTTTTTCTCGATTGTTATAAAAGTTATTTTCTTTTATTAACCCCTAATGAAAATGAAATATTTTTTAAATACAACAAATAAGAATAATTCCAAAACATTTGCTCCTTTTTTTTTAAAAAAAAAACCTCATTTTGAAGAATAAGTTCTCTGCTCCTGAGATCTAAATTTTTGTTTTCAGCCTCAAGTCTACCAACTTTCAACTCTAAATTCTCTTTTGATATTTCGAGAGATTGAATCTTTGCACGAGCCTCAACCAAGTCTTGATCATGTTTTTGGCCAAAACTTGTAAAGTTTAAAGTGGATTCTTAAAAAGATATTAAAAATAAATATATATACGTAAATAAATAAAAAAAACAAATAAATAAATAAGCAATTATTTTATGTACTCTGTAAAGAACTCAAGTCTGGCATAAAATTAAAAGTATCCCTTGAAGGCGTTATTGAAGGACTAGACATACGAAACGGACTCTCCACATCTAACCTAGATCTCTGATAAAGGTAGAACAAAAAACATAAAAATAAGTTGTCAAAATACAGTAAACAATGAAATGATAAACCGACATAATATAATATTTACTTTAGAAGGCCTATCCCCAAGCCCCGGTTGAGAGATTTGAGTTTTCTCTGACTTAAATATTGAAGGAACGCTAGCACTTGAGGAGGATGACGGCCTAAAAGGGTTATCATTGAGCCGATCGATTTGTTTCTTTCTAGCCGATCGTTGGTAAGGAGGGTAAGACATTACGAAAGAATTTATTTCCTGATATTTTTGAATAGTATATTTTTTTTTATTAAAAAAAAGGGGGAAGGAAAAAAAAAAAAAAAGAGGAAAATCCAAGCAACCAACCAAAATACACGTATTATTATTTACCTCAAGTTCTATAATTAGCAATGATGATACAAGGTTTGGGTATCGTCACCAGACCGAATGTTTGGATTAATACATGCATAACTTGTGATTTACAGTATTACAAGGTAATTAATCATTGTAAGGAAAAAAAAAGTTGCACACGTGACGATAATCATTACTTTGTAAAATTTCAGTCTAAAAATTTCCAAAAAAAGGTTCTTTAGAATTATTGATTGACAAGTGTGTTACTTTACCAATAATCAAATAATCTACATTTAACATTATTATTTGTATAACGGTAATGACTATATTTAAATGAAGTCGTAAACCGCATATGCATTGTCTAATTGTTGTAAATTTTCCATATCAAGAACATTAAAGGTATATATTGGTCTAGTCCAAAGCAATCTACGTCATGTTCTTGCAGGGTTTTCCAGTTGGATCGGAAAAAATAATGTTGTCAAACGATTCACCTCAACCAACCAAAAGGTTCGATCATCGAAAAAAAAAATTTATCATCCGTAGTTGGTTGGCTAAGCCATTGTGCATTGAACCACAAAAAAAAATTAAAAAAAATTCAAAATAAAACACAAACAATACATACAATATATTAATTAAATATTATTTGAGGGTTACTGGGAAACTTTCTCATAAAAAAAAAAAAGGTTTAATTCGTGATTATTTTTTTTTCCAATTTGAAATTCACTCGTCTTTCAGTTATCAAAAGATAGTGGTTGGTGGGGAAGATGCCGTACCTCGGTAACGTTAAATACGTTATGTTTTGATCGAGGAGCGCATTTTTAAAAATCTATTGTTTCGCAAAATTAGTTTAACAAAGAAACTCTTACTACTTTTTCCATATAGTAGTAACATTGTGTTAGCTACATGTGCTAATTGTATTTATTATTTTATATATATAAATATATTTATTATAATGATGTTTATTTCCATATTTAAATAAGCTAGTTAGCCCATCCATTTTTGCGCGACTTTAAAAAAAAAAATACTTAAAAACCCATAGCTGATATTTCTCTTGGAAAAAATAAATCTGTTCTTGGTAGTAAAGATATGATAATTGACCAACACGAACTATCGTTATGGAGATTAGTTCCGATCGGCATTCACAACTTATGTTAGACTCACCAATAATGTTAGTGTATAAGTAGATTTTTCGGGATTATTTCTTTTTTCCTGACTTGTCTTCGCTTTTGTTCTTTCACCTCTCGTTATGGTTTTTTTTTCGTAAAACAATATTACAAAGTGTCGAAGTGCCCTACTTATTTCTTCTTTAAATTCTACGGAGTTACGCATAGTTAAAAAGTTTTGGGTATTGAACCATGAATATTGTCATGTTCATCGCAACAAGTTCGCTGAACTTACAAAATGTTCATTTACACGTTTTGTAAATAAAATTTGTTCCAAAGAGTTTCATATATAAACATCCCTTTTCTTCCATATAGTTACCGATTGGAGGTTTCCCAGCAACCTATTCGAGCGAGAATGTGCGGTTTTGGAGATAAAGATCGCCGTCCAATCGATCCTCCGCCGGTTGTTAGGTTACTAGTATCTACTGCAGATGGAACTCCTATACCTGAAAGGTAAGAACAAATGTATACCTTTACTTCATAGGAAAAAAAAGAGAGAATTTAAAAATTTTTTTGGTGGTTCGGAGTTAATTAGAGTAAATCAAATTATTATTTTTTTTTTAAAAAAAAAAAGATAACGTAAGCCGTGCCATCATCATCATTTTTTTTTTCAAATACATGAATTATTTTGAGTCAATCCGATTTGACGCGAGCTTTATTTTCTAAAAATATTGGTTAGTTCTGTCGATCATTCTATGATGATCGTTCATGCTGGTTTATGGTCCGAAAGTTGCACCGATGAGCGCAGCCTGGTAATAAATCCTTCCTCAATTCCCACACAATCAACTGGTCCCAGTTCTACCGTCATGTCATTAAACGCTCCTTCATGTACCCGAAACCTTATGGGTCATTGCACTTCATCCGCATATGTGCTCACTAATGACTTGGGTCAACAAGGAATTTATTTCATATTCCAAGACCTTTCCGTCCGCACCGAAGGAACATTTACATTAAAATTTTCGTTTTGTGATGTGAAGAGTCTGTTAGTTCGGTAAGCACTAGTTTATTAAAATTTTTTATTTACATTATTATATTTATTGTAAATGGCATTTGTGAATGACATAAAAGTTCGGTGGAACTTTACATTTATGGATGAAATTCCGGTTGGTTAATATTAGATGCATGATAATTTAAAAAAAAAAATTGTTTTCTAGTTTTGTTCATGTTTAGTGTTACTGTGTTTGTTGGATTTAACTTGAATTAAAATTAAAATAATTTTCCAACTTTTCTTTTAATCAATAAGATCGCTCAATGGATATACTAATAGTCGAGGGAGTGTCGCAGCTGAAGTGTACAGTGATCCTTTTAAGGTATATTCTGCAAAAAAATTTCCTGGAATGACAGGTAATCTTGTGGTCATATGTCGATGATTTCTGGTTTTAATCTGGTTATTTAAACCTATTTATATTATTATAACTGTATATCTTTCTGCTTTAAACCATATACATAAAATATAGAATCAACTGAACTATCGAAAGCATTCGCAAAACAAGGAATTAAAATTCCGATTAGGAAAGAGACTAGATATCGAAAAGTTAATAATAATAATAATAAAAATGATAATGATAATAATAATAATGAAGAACCACGCGATCCCTCAAATGAAGTTGTTCCTGGATCTTCATCTTCGGCTGTACCAACTACAACTATTAGTGACACTGAAAATACAGCCGAGCGTTCAGGTAATGATGAGAAACGTAGTCGTCAAGACCTATCTGATAACGATGATGATTCGGTTAAGGATTCTGAGGAAGGAAAAGGTAAATCTGTTGAAAAACGACGTCGCAAGTCCAGATAAGATAAAGTTTAAGGAAGTACAAGCCTTCCAAAAAAGGAGAATGAATACCTTAGACAGCTTAATTATATCTTGTTGAATTTTATGGTTTATTAAAAATATATTATGATGAATAATTACGAAGTGAGTCATTTTTTTTTTATTCATAAATGCTTCTCAACAGGTTAATTGTATTTTAAACCAATTTTTTGCCCATTAAATCTTTGTAGAATTTTTATTTCACTCAAATAAGCACGTGATTTCTATATGTATTTAATTCTAATGAAATTTGCTAGTAAATTCGCTAAATATTAATCAATGTTAAAAGTTTGGTATCAATATTAAGTTTATTTAATTTATTTAAGTCATAAAATCTATATTTATAAGTAATAAGAAGTTCTTTTTTTTAAAATAAATTTAAATATAAAATTACGGAAAGTTTATATTTTTTTTAAAAAATAAATAATTTATATATTTAAATAAGTTATCCTTCATATAATCAAATTATTTTATAAATATTAAGTATATTTTTATTTTTCTATCAGTTATTATTTAAAATATAATAAATAAAAAATATGTATGATAGAATAAAATTTTAGTATTATATTATAAATTACATTAATAATTTTTAAACTGAGACTGAAAATATTTTATAATAAAATTATGAGATATTATAATTGAATTTGACTGATTGTAACTGAAAAATTATTAGTAATTCAAAAATTATATTTCATTTAGAATTTTAATTTTTTATAATCTAAAAGTATAAAAAAAATTTAAATTAATACTAGTAAAATTTTTACTAAAAGGATATAATAGACTATAATTCTAATAATATTTAATGATATAAAGAGATAAATATAATATTTAAAATTATTATATTTTGATTTAAATATTCTTTAAATAAACAAATTATTATTTAAGTATCTTATTAAGTATATTATTATCAAAGCAAGTAAAAAATATACTTACTTAAAAATTTCTAATTGAAAGTATTTAGATAATCTTATATAGTTGAATTACTTATTAAAGAATTTCTATATTCTGAATTTTTTATTATTGTGAATTATATAAGTAATCCTAAATTTTATTAATAAAATAATTGAATATAACAAATTTTTATAATAAAACTTACTATTATATATAACAAATTAAAAATTCTGTATTAAGTATAATAAATGAGACCTTTGTTAACAAAGATTTTTATATACTGAATTTTTATATTAAATTTAAGGGATATAACAGATACATTATCATAAAGTAAGATTATATAATAATTTTAAAGTCTTGGACATGCATTAAAAAGTTTTAACCAATCATTTTAGATACTAACTTATATATAAGCTGATTTATTTTAATAATATTATACAGGTAGTAACAATTTTAGAATACAGTGAACTCTTGATATAACGAATTCTAGGATCTAGATATCAACTTTGTTATAAGCTTATAACAAATTTTTTAAAGAATTTAATTGGCTAGTTCACTATAGTAAAGGTAATTTTAATATATTTGATTTAAAAATTCGCTATATCAAGGGTTCGCTATATCAAGGTTTGACTGTATATTTTAAGATATATAGATTTTGATGAAAATATCTTAGCTATTTTAGTTTCTAAAGTATTATAATATAATGCAATATGAATACTTATAACCTCTTTATATCTCAAGTAATATTCAATATTATGATATTTTTTGAAACTTATCAACTATGCATTTTGATTTTTGAAGATTTATACATCAAGTAATATTGTAAAATTATATGCCTTTTATAATAAAAATTTACTATTAATAGTAATATTATTATCTACTGTTTTTTTAACTTAAAAACTTAAAGCATCTTTAATTTGTAAAAAATTTAGATTAATTATCTTTTAAGTAAAGCTTTATAAAATTCTGATTTTATAACGAACCATTTTTACTTTTTTTTAAACAAATTTTTATTTTTAAATACCTATAAAAGAAGTTTTAGTTTATTTTATTTTAGAAGCTTTTCCTATATCTTTAGAAAAAATTTTTTTACTTTTTTCTTTAAGCATTTTAATAAATAACTGATCAAAAAAATTAAGTTTTTTTTAAATATTTAAATTATTAATTTATACTTATTAAAATAATATAGCATTTCCTTTAATAGTAATACAAGAAAAATAATTCACTTATATCTTATATAAGAATATCATACTCTCTAATATTTGTCTTTATAAATTACCTTTTAATATAATTACATATTTCTAACCATATGATTAGTATATAATTTTAGCAGTGTGGTCATGTATGCTTGCACATGACTGATGATTTTCCTCATACAATACTTTTTAATGTATATGCAAATCTGCATTGCGCATAATTGTGCACAGTTCATACAAATCTCGTACAGTTGCACAATCTTACACAAATCCCACACAGTTGCATAATTCTGCACAAATTTTGTACAGTTTTACACAATTCTGCATAATTACGTACTGAGATTATCATTCAGATCTATCATCTTCATTTAAAAAAAATCTGAGTAATGATGACTGACCTTCTATTTCAAAATTATAGATAAATTTTTAGACCTTAATAATAAATGGTTAGAAAATCCTATTAGTGATATAAGTAGCTCAAAAACTCTTAGTAGTCCATCTAAGACTAAAAGAAAAAATAAAGATAAGAGTATTTCAGCAGTTAAAAAACCAAAAACTGCTACTGCTCCAAAAGAACAATAGTGTACTATATATAGTAATTAGTTAGAATATCGTGAGGTTAATGGGAAAATTCTGATATTTTACACTTGGTGTGAAAAAGCAGGTTATAATAATCAAATGACTAAAGGATGTGATACTTACAAAAAAGATTTAGTTGATAGGCATGTTAAGAATCAGGAACATACACTTTTAGAAAAAGTGAGAAAAACAAATCAGCTGAATATAATGCAAAGCTTATCTCATAATTTAACCAATGATAAGAAAAAAATAATTAACCAAATGAAATGTGTGTATTTTGTTGCTAAAAATCATCTTTCACTAAATCTTTATTCTGAATTGTATAATTTAGTACTAAATTCTGATAGACCTTCAAAAAATACTACACCATACCTTCTTCAACTTCCTTCACTTTCTTCTTTAAAACCACCTACTGAAACTTCTCAATATGGATCGTATAATAATCCAAAGTATGCTCAAAAGTTTGAAGAAGTAATTTTTTATATTATAGAAAAAGCATTGGTTGATGAAATTAAAGCTTCTGAGCAATGAAATATTTTAATTGATGAATTAATAACAATTACTAATAAAAAACACTTAGTAATTGTTTCAAAACTAAAGATGGTACAGCAATTGATTTCAAATTTACAAAATGTTGCAACATAAGCTAAAATTAGTTGCAACATAT